CGTATAGTAAAAGTTAGATGTGCTCATGCGCAGACTGGGCAATACTAACTTTCGTATTTATAGAGATGGAGATATCTTTTTGAAATTTTAATCACAGATGCTTCTGTTAAGGCAAACAAATCTCATATTGTAAAGCTTAGATGTGCAGTCTATGCTCCCCAATTTTTCAATAGGGATGTATTTGGATTTCTCACTTGGCAGAATGACATTTTTAATGACATGACGTGCTTGCTGCTTTATGATCTATCATCTGCGCTGGACGAACGAACATCTCGACAGGCGAAATCGCAAACTAATTGAACGCAACCAAGCGTTTGGAAACAAATATTTTCACACGCATCGGAATATGGGCTGGAATTTTGCCAAAGAGTGTTTTTACGCAGTTTAACTCAAATTTTGCAATTAATAGCTATCTATCCATAATCCGCAGTATTTAGTCTAAAATAGCATTATGTCTACACTACTAAATTTAAATTTTCGTACCGACCAGAGAAGCTTGTTCAGTAGCTTGGTGATATGAAGATATGTAGTACATACATCTAAATCTGCATTCATTACTGAAGATAATTGGAAAATTACATTAACTAACAATTCATTTAGTTTTAGCAAAAAAATTATTAATTACAGTGTCTATAAATGATACTCTCGATGATACTATCAACAAGTAATTAAAAAAAGGTTTTTGTTTAGATTTTACCTTTTGTGCGCAATCTTCTTGTTCTTAAGCATTTGAGCTTATGTTAAGCCTTCTTCCGATGATATCCTACTTTGCGCCCTGCCTTTTTTTAGAGACCTCCCGGCTTCTTTTTCTTGGAAGATTTAGATCTTTTGTTATTTTTATTAGCCTGGTATCGCCTGCTCTTGTTACGTGTTCATTTCAACATTTGCTCATGCGTCATCATGAATTTCGCAACGCTTTACGTTGTTGTCGTATATCTATAGTTTTTACTATGTTCAATCGGGTCTGTTCTGCTATGGTTCTTAAACGTGATCAATTAAATATAATTTAACAATGTATTCCGATTTAAGTGTTCCTATCGCCATCTAATTACTCCGACAGAAATTTATGTCGCTCTAAATGTTACTTTTAATTTATCAAATTCCTATGATATGACTATTCGGCTCGAAGGACCAATTTGTGGAAATCTTTGACATTTGGAACGTAGAGATCATGCAAACCTATTATTATACATACCGTACGTTCGGCGTCGCTACAAGCTGCGCAGTTAGCAAGAGTTATAGACAATCCCAAATACCAAACCATGACAACAGCTTTGTTTTATCTCCTTCGAAATATTTTACTCACGCCATTACAGCTGCCGGCTATACCGCCATTAACTTCCGGATTTTAATTTGAAACACCCACTTATTATTGTAGCGAATATTCCAGAAATCTGAAGAGACCTCAGGGCGCCATCAAGTCGATAAAAGATTTAATTACCGGTGTTAAGAAACGAAAGTGAATGTGATTCTTCCTATGAAATGTGATATACCGACGAAAATGTTCCGTGATTTTTCTAGAGACTTTCCGTTTGCTATATAAGCTAATTGAATCGTGTTTGATGGGAGTTGCAACATCGACACCAAATTGATTAGTGATTTAGCGCTCGTCTGATAAATTTACGTTATAAATTTGAGTAAAAGTGAGCGGTAAATACTAATTAGCTGTTGTAAACCCATTATTAATGAATTGTAAATAAATCAGGTAATTAAATTTACGTTACATTATTTAATTTTTGGATTTATGACCAAATGTTGTGCACCTATTGTCAATTGTTTTTTAAATATCTTGATTTTTGGAAGATGCAGCATTTACAACTGGTGCTAAGCGCTTCTGGGGTAGATGAAAGCACAAGAGGAGTACTTTCAAAATCCACATTTTCAATTGATTTATCATATACGGCTATGGGGTGTTTAACTGCCAACTTAATCATTTTCAAGATTGTAAAGGTTTTTTAAATGTGACCTACGATTTGGATTTTCTTGATTATACTGTTTTTGGTTGAATCTGGGATGCTGCCGTCCTTTTACATAATACGAGTATACAGGGTGGCATCTGCCTTCCGTCCGTCTGTGTGTCTGCAGCTGAGACTCACTAAATTCAACTTTGTGTACAGATTAGTAACAAGGTTAAGTGAGTGTGGACGGCCAAACGTCCGCCTTTTTATCTAAAACCGAAATGATTTACTTACAGGAAAAAAATTAACGTCATTGTATCATGTAAACGCAAATCTCATTAATGCGACGATAAAAACAACAAAAATGTGGCATAACACACCAATACAAGAAATAAATCAACTGTGACAATAAAATGCAAAAGATAAATACACAAATCGTAGAACAAAAATCGGGTAATCGAATTAAATTAATAAAAGTGAAACACGAGAAATCAATCTTAAATACAAATGGAAAACAAGATTAATCAAATTAATTAGTACAAAAACACATTAAACACATCTACGATAGTTTAGATGAACTCATAAAATTATAAATTGCATGTACATAAAAAACATCAAAATGGTACGGTTCTGCTTCTCCATCAGCTACCATTAAGTTAACACTAAAATTACAGGCAAAAATGGCAGCAGTATTCATGTTAAAGTCGTCTATCACAAACAGACTCGCATATTATTATTTAATAAAACCTCAAACAATACTCAATTAACAATTTCAACATTTAATTTAGGCTTCTTTTATTTGAAAAACAGTAAGTAACTATTAGTGATAATTATCATCAGTGACAAAATCCTAATGTAATAATGTGATTATTTATGTTTTTTTGTTATATTCACATATCTATTTTAGTCTACTCTTCCTACTAAGGTTCAGTGGAAGAATAAAAATATGTTGAACTGCGCCTGAAGATTGCCTTTCCTTTTTATTTGATCTATTCTATTTATCTTTTATATCTTAGTGCAATAGGAGAAAACAATAAAACCTATATTATTATTAGTATGCGAAACAGAAGAAAGTTATAGTCCCCCCCCCCTCGTATTGTTCTTGCTGGCCGCATGAGTACCTAACGTAATGCTCCAGTAGCTAGGTCTTTATGAACTCGTTCTTTCTCAGGAGTAGTCGACTGGTAATTAATAACAACTCTTAACTCGAACTAACGTATTTTACAATGAAATATACAGGGTGACAATTTGAAAACTTACCACCCCCCATATCTTAGTAAATAAACGAGATATTTAAAAAAATCAAAATCCGTTTCGGTAATTCGGAGGGGGAATCAGAATGACATAGTTGGCGACGCACCCCCTGCGCCCCAGCCACCACAACTTTAAAATCTTAAATAGTGACCCCCCATGTGTGATACGTCGTTGGAAAGCTCTCCAACCATACCAAATAGCATTACGTTTAGGTTAGTAATTATCGTGCAAATCAAAAAATAAACTAATATGATACATTTGAAATCTGTCGTATTTAAAACGCAACCGGCGAACATTAGACGAACTAAGGCAGAGAATAATTCAAGAATGTCGAAATATTGCAAAACCAACATTGGAAAGGTTCGACAAGAGTTTGAGAATAGATTATAACTGGCGATCAAAAATGAGTTGCTGTCGAGCCGGCTTTGGAAGTTCAAGTTAAATACGATTTTCCATGTTTATTTTTTGATTTGTACGATAATTACTAACCTAAATGTAATGCTATTTGGTATGGTTGGAAAGCATTTTTTCAGAGCTTTCCAACGACGTATCACACATGGGGGGTTACTATTTAAGATTTAAAAGTTGGGGTGGCTAGGGCGCAGGGGGTGTGAGGGGGTGCGTCGCCAACTATGTCATTGTGATTCTCCCTCCGAATTACCGAAACGGATTTTGATTTTTTTAAATATCTCGTTTATTTACTAAGATATGGGGGGTGGTAAGTTTTCAAATTGTCACCCTGTATACAATTAATTATAGCCATTGGTAGCGACACCGTATAAGAAAAACGACCAATGAAAGCAACGATAAATGTGATCTCAGCCGAAATGCCATTAACTCATCACCGAATAAGTAAATCACTGAAAAAATGCGCTCTAGCCCGTTCACAAAGGTATGGAACCCTACTCCTTGGAAACCGGCGCCGTGGATTAAAGCTTTCTCGAACGCGAGCTGCTGCTGGCCTTATGATCCCCTTCGACAAAGCTACTGTTTCCGGAACGGCAACCACTCACTGGGACTCGTACTTTAACTCGCGATATCGCAGAACGTCGCGTAACTCATAACCCGCACTTATACTCTAAGAACCGTTGTATCCTTCGACGGTCTTAGACGTTCGCTGCCCTATGAGACTATCGGAAGCGGAACTGCATGAGGTAATTCCTCCACGGTATAAATGGTTATTCGACTCATACAGAGCAACGACACACTGATAATATACTTTCACGTGAATACATAAATAAATACTTATCGAGGTATATCCACCTGTACATTAAAAACGAACAAACATGATTCAGTAACTGTATGTACATAAAACAAACCTTGAAGATTCAATAAACGTCAAAATATAATGCAAAATGTAAATAACAGGTTGTGACACGAAATTTAAAGATTGAATAGAATGAAATGATTACTGCCTATAATTACACTTTTCAAAACAAAGTAAAGGCTGAAGACTCTACTTTTTGCCAAGCTTCATACTCAAAAAATCCCTGTTCTTGGTATCTGCGACCGAATAAAATTCTGCACAAAACATGCGATGTAAGCAGATTAAAAATCAATAATCTCATTATCATCCCCAACGGAGTCCGAAACTGCAACGTCTGACAGTAAGTAACTCAGAATTAGGGGTGGTTTTTCTTGTGTCAGTTAAATATCTAATGGACAACCTTCTATATTAATGTATTGGGTCATTTTGTATCAAAAGAGTCGAGACGAGAGTGGTCCAGAGATTCACACTTTTTTTCCTACATATACCTACATGAATTAAAACTTGATGATCAATGCTAGTTTGGACAGAAATTGCAATTATTTAGCAGAAACGTGTTAATGTGGATGTTTCTCTTTCAGGACAGCCGAGCGTAATTACCTGCAACCATTACATGCCACCAACCGTCACGACCGTACCGGCAACCAAACAATCGGACTTGCGTTTCACGTTGTACCCCATCGGTTTAGCACTGAGCGCCATCTTTCTGGCGGCCACCCTTGCCGCAGGATCTCTGCTTCCGGCAAGCCACCACGTTCTGCATTGGAGATGCCAAACGAATCACATCGTATGTTTACTTATCGGTTACATACTTTTGTGCATCATCCAAATCGCCGGAAGGACCATGTCGCCGATGCCATGTTTTTTGATGGGTAAGTAGGCGATCTAAATGTTAATTGCGGTTTATTTCTGTTGTCATTATAAATTGAGCATTCGAGTCGAAAGAATGGTGCCAAAAAATTGGGACATTTACTTTTGCGGCGCACGTTCCTTACTATACAAACGGCAGGTTGACATATGTAGCGCTGTGTGTTCTAAATAAAAGTTAATTGACATGTCTTGGAAGGTTAACTGTAACCGAGCGCACCATGTAGGTGTTATTAATCTTCATCCCAAATTTATTCCATCTTAGTTCCGGGCCGAGCGATCTAGAATCTTTCTCATTGGTATGTTTGGAAAACGACAGTGTGTACTGTTAGATGATGATTCATCGCAATTCCTTCGCGTATTTTGTACGCGGCCTATTGTTAACACCGTCCTTCGCGCCGAATGAAGGTTTAGTGAATTTATTTATATATACTCGTAATGACCCAAATTATGCTTTATGTATCGGAATTCACTCTCGTGAGCACATTGTCGGGACCAAAGCTCGTTTACATATTTAAAAAATCGTAATTAAATTCACGTTTAACGGTTCGTATGTAATGATAGTGCCTTCTGGTTGAATAGAAAAATATTCGCATAGCCCCCTTAATTAACAAAGACGGAAATTGTACGTTGCTAATTATTGCATTGTGCAAGTTGATATTAGTCAGAGCTTGAAGTAATTGAATTTGAATCGCAATTAATTCAAATTTTCTAAACGAGTGCACTACATTTCTTAAAATGTTCTTGGAATGACCAATTGTAATTGGCGTAGTAATTTCACACAGAAAAGAAAGTTAATGTAATTATAATTGGTAAGAAATGCACGTGGCTTGCAATTTTCTTTTCTCTTGATTCGTATCCTGTTTTACACTGTCCATGGAAATCTGTAACATACATTTTTGTAGTTAGTAACTAAGTAGCATGAAATTTACGTCTTGGGGAACATGCAGCTTCATTTAAATTTAGACTACTAAACGGGAAAATATCGAGTGAAAATATCCGATTAGATAGGGCTTAGTGGTGAATTTTGGACACCGTTATAGAACATTGAGAAATTTCTTAATATTATAGGTCTTGTAGGGTGTACCAATAGCATCAGTAATGATAGAACTTTAATTTTGAATAAAAAAAAGTTTATTAAGTTAGAAAAATAAATGGTGTAAATAATAAATACTAACGATACTCGAGATCGTCTATAATTTTGTATTACTGTCCATCTGTCTGTCTCTCCGTTTGTCCGTGTGTACGACAACTATGTTCAGTAACGGTCGCTTTGAAAATAAAAAAAGTCGCTATTGTTTTTCTGCCCAAACCCCCAAAAAGGGTAATTTTTGTTACAAAACACATATGAATGTCCGGTTTTCTATGGTAGTAAATATTCCATAAACCTCAAGCAACGATGCAGATGAAAAAAATTTGCGCATGCACATCCAACTTTTACTTTTTGTATATATTTGCGCAATCCGAAATGAGAGAGTAGTTGCCCTGTAGCTTCTACATCTAGCGTGTTATGGAAATTCTGATAACAGATTCACATTCCTGGAGAAAAAGTGCCCATAGAACGCTAGGAAAGATGAAAACGAAATTTAACATTTTCAGTTTTTCGGCGATATTTTAAAAATGTTTCAAACTTTCAAATGCGTTTTTTTAGTGAGAAAAGGGCCACATTGAACCTGCACTGTATCTCTCACCGTTACGCAGATCCCAATAGTGAGCTACGAATTTGAACTACCCTGTACAGGTCGAACCGATTGTCGGGTAATGGTGGCGAGTATTCCAATTGTTTGCTAAGTGTCTAACAATTGGTGTGATTCATTAGGGATTGCGGTGATTGTTTTCGATAATGCAGCGCATTCACAGAGCATGGCTTTCCGCAGGGTTCAATACTGGATCCACAACTATTTCCCTATTCCAAAGTGCTTGTAAGCATCGTCACATTAAATCAATATCGGTTTTATTTCTGGGAGAGTATTCTTCTAATGGCAATATTGAGGAGAGTTTTCAAATGGCTTCAAAACCAAAATAGTATACAGAGCGAGGGGTAAATCGCTAGGCAAAATCGTGTACACCAAACTTCATACTTCACGTATTTCATCAATACTTCATGGACTTCATCAATACTTCACGGACTTCACCAATACTTCATAGACTTCATCAATACTTCACCGAACTTCACGGACTTCACCGACACTTCATGTATTCCACCAAAAACTTCACGGACTTCACTGATACTTTATGAATTTCACTGATATTTTGCAATGGACAAAATCCCATCCTTTTTTCTAGAGTTCTTGTAAAGCACTCAAAGCAGTAAAAGATGTAGAATGTATTGATATAAATGATAATAGAGGCATAACAAAAACGAAACGGTAATATAAAGTAAAATAAAAACATACTTTGTTTATACATAGAGGTAAGTACATAGGCGAAATTGAAATGAATCAATTTTTTAAAGCAATTTTTAAAAAAATGGGCTTTTGTTTGAGTTTTGCCCGCCCGTCGGACCCACTTCTGCGGTTTTGAACTACTTTTAGGGGAATGGTCCTAGAGTCCTGGAATTTTTTGCAATATGTAGCCTATACCTTGAAGGTGTGGCACACGGCAATCAAATTTCGCTGTCTTAAGGGAGGTGGCCTCCATCAATTATTTCCTGAGATGCTGTTTTTGAAAGTAAAAGTAAAACGTGCATTACTTTTACATACGGCAATCAATTGGCGCATGGCTTTAGTGGTGCAGTAAAAATTTTGAAAATGGGGAGGGGGGACGGGGGTAAACACCCGTTCCACCTTTCATGGTCTCATCGAAATAAATTGGTTTGCACAAACTATAACGTTACCGCGCGACTCTTTTTCAAGTTCAGTTCATGGCGCGGGGGGGGGGCGTATTTTATCTTTCATGATATTCTAATTAAAGGTCTCAACGAAAGGAATTAATTTCTACCAACCATAGTCCTCTTCTTCGATCCCTTACCGTGATTGGATATATCCCCTTATATCTCCACAACAGATTGTTGGAAGAGTACTCACAAAGGGCGATTGGGACATCTTAAAGAAATATATCCATTGAGCGATTATCTCGAAAACGGTTAATCGGAGGAAAGTACTTTCAAAGGCAAAATCAATCGGGGGTGTCGGAGGATTTTCAATGTCCTCCCATCAATCATCTACTAAGAAAGTAAATATCGATAACATGCTACTACCTTCTAACCCAACCATTTACTAAGCTATTTCGGTTTAAAAAATGGCCCTTTATCTTTATCTGCACAGGAGTTGTGCACCATTTATACTTAAGACTTTATAAGCTTCAAATTTCTGTTATACCTTCCTATGTAGTTATACTAAATGGTTCACTTCCTGTTAATGTAATGGGTCCTGTTAAAATATGTGTTTTATTAACAGATTGGAGATCTGGCTCTATACCATATAAAGGTGTCCAATTCTTCTTTTAAAAATTTCATTTCAAAAAACAAACAAAATAAGCGGGAAAATATTGCTTAGGTCTTTTAAAAGGTATTGTAACATATTACCAGACTGAACCCAATAAGCAACTCTTAATCCTTTTACAACAGGTTGCATTTTTAGGGGATTATTTTCAAGAATTATGCTAATGGTGTTGTTTGTGGGATAGTATTGACCTCGGGATTGACATTATAGGCGTAAATAACTCAATGGCGTGGCCAGAAACTTGATTTGCAAGGGGCTGATGTACTAAGTTGTGGAGAGTGCTGAGATTTTAAGGAAAACAAAAGCCGCTATCCACGTGACAAATTTTCCGTCTGTCGATTTTATTTTAATATACCTAATAAAAGTGTTATTTAGCTACCTGAACCTGATGATAATAAAGGAAAGGATTTATTAAATTTTTAAAAGGAAACAATTTACGATCTTTGTACCTACACATAACTACGACGCAAGGACTATCAGTACGTCTATGAGTCGCTGTCTCATCAGGGCGTCTGTCGCCTGTGTAACTGTCCTTTTGTTTTGTAGAAATGGGCATAGTTAGTCTTTCATAAATAAATGCCATATACTTTTGCGGATAAAAAACTTACCTTTCAGCATAGATTTTTTAATCTATACTTTCAGTTTTATTTCGCAGAAATTTATTTAATTTTACCTCGAATTTTAGTGGTTACAACCGTGAATTGAACTACCGTACGATTTTTGTTAAGGGATTTGATTATAAACTTCGCCACAACCTCATGCATTTTTCCAATAGTTCGCTTAAACTTCACTAACTTCACCAATACTTCACGGACTTCATCAATACTTCACGGACTTCATCAGTACTTCACGCACTTCAACAATACTTCACGAACTTCACCAATATTTCATGGACTTCACCAAAACTTCATATGAACTTCACGGACTTCATCACACTTGTACACCATACTTCACCAGTGGTTCACCCCTCGATACAGAGGGTTTTCTTGGGAGATTAAGGCAGATAAACCATCTTGATTTCTGTGGCACTTTTACCCTAATGGCAGTACAGGGCATTTTTCAAAAAATAGTATTGGGAGCCTAAACAATCTCGGTTTTATTTATGTAACCGTTTTCCCTTAATGGCAGTATTGGGGGAGTTTTCAAATGCAAAGTGAACAGCATTTATAGCAGGCATGGGCAACTTTTTTTCCAAGGGGCCAAAATAAAATTTTTCATATGCACCACGGGCCACAGTTGAAAATACAAATAAATAGTATATAATTATTTATTTCTTTTTGGTTTTTACCTATTTTATGCTTTCGTAAAAATCATTTTTTTTTAAATTGACACTATTTTGCATACAACATTTTCCAGATGTGGATAATAAATCTCCATATTCAGCTTGTATCCAAATTTTTATTTATTTTTTTAAATTTTTATTTTATTGCCTTTATTTGATAGTGGGTGGAGTGTTTGCAATTTGCTACTCTTCCCACTCAACCCACTATACAATTACAAACAGCCATGCCTTACCTGGGATTCGAACCCAGGACCCTTGTAGCCAAAGTTAGAGCTACTAA